CTTTAACAAAAATATGCTTCACTTTTCTTCTTTCTTTTGTAATTTCTTTTTCCACAATTCTGGTTTATAACTCAAAATAAAAAAGTGAAACTTCCCAAATACTATCTGAAAATATCATGCACAAAAAATAAAAATAAATCCTCTCCAAGCAGTCAGTTACGTGTAAACGATCTTTATTACCACTGCCAGGCATTCAAAAACGTATTTGTTCACACGAGCAACTTTCCCACACCTTTATTCTGGGTATAACATTGAAAACGAAATAGATATACATGTTATTTCACACAGGAGAACGTAATTTTTAAATTCAAAACACGACTGAAAACAAGTCACTAATAACTTATTTTCCATTTTATAATTCATATGTACAAATTACAAATAAAAAGCAACAAATAATGGCGTTTGCATTAGGTGTAGATTTATATTATTAAGACTCCTCATTCCAACATTCAGTCATGTGCAGAGGCGTTGCTTGCTTAAAATATTCGAGGCTCGGGCCCATAAGGGCCAGGCTTTCTTAAGTGTCCAATTTGATGTCGCCAGTGTTCTGGGACAAATTTCTCCTAGTACGTATTTACACAAACATATAATAAAAGAAAAATTGAATTTCAAAGCAATAACACAAACACAAAAATTGTAAGTATGACTCAAGTCTTTATTATGATTAATTAGTATATATTTATGTTTGAAAATTTGTTATTAGCCCATTACTTTGTCACATAAAAATATCCAAAATAACATGTCACCGTAATAATGTGTTCCTCTTTACCGTTATGTATTTTCAAGACAATAATTACAAATGTTTGAGTATATTAAAAGATTATAGTCTAAAATCAATCTGGGAAGTATATAATTTGATTTGATCATCCCCCAAACACGGGGTATCAAGAGATATTTTGGGTATGTCCATTTGGAGAGTGTAATAAAATTAGTTTTTTTTTTAAGCACGTGATCTCCTTTACGCATATATCTAGTGTAGATTCTCAAATTATGTCATTTTGTTATATCGTTATACACAACAGCCAAGACATTTGTTGTTATCAATTACTGAAAGGGTAAAAGTAAATTACATTCTTCAATAAAGATCACTGAACATGAAATTGCGTGAACTCCTTTACTTCAGTTTTGCTTCAGAGGGGAATATATAGAGTGCATAATGCTTTTCTCGACATATTTAGTTTCCACCATGTGCAGATGATTAGGATAGGGTGGATTTGAAATGTATTAGTCACAAATCAACTCATTTTCCTGCAAAAGGTGGGATTATATAACAGGTGTGTATCTCTTTAACTGTATAACTAATATTCAGATGGTGTGAGAGGTGGTAGTTTTAGGTTTAAATGATGACCTATGAATTACAAAGGTAAATCTGTGAGCGATAGTTAGAGGTCTATTTATAAAAACAGATAATTGGAGATATGGTGAGATGCATGTAAAGGAATTCACAGAATGGGTAAACGAGACCACCATTTTAATTTAACTCCTTATATATGCTTTGCATTTCTTAGTATAATGCCACATTATAATAAAAGCTTACGTTTATGATCTGTGGAAGTAGTCTAATACAAAATAACTATTCTTCTTAGTCTGTTATAGCTGGATTTACTGTAGAAATGTAAAGGAGATCACATTTATTTCTACACCTGTCTTTGCTGATATACAGAGGTGGTATGTATTTCGGTGATAAGCTTCATATTTATATTTTTAGAATGGATGGTTAACAAAGTCGGCAGCAGTTTTTTTGTTTTTTACTTTTTTATTTTAGGTACAATATTACAATATAATCTGGTAAAGGAGAACACATGTGAAAAACAGTAGTCATCTTCATCAAGGGGGGAAAATTTGACATAATGTTGCCCGAGTGTTAAATTTTTGGCATAAGGTTTTTCAGTAGTTGTATATTCAAAAAACTGTATAAATCATACTTATAGGAGGTTTTTTTCGACATTTTCCAGTTGAAAAAGGCTCGGCATGGCCAGGTGGTTAGAGCACTCGACTCGCAATCTGAGGGTCGCGGGTTCGAATCCCCGTCCCACCAAACATGCTCGCCCTTTCAGCCGTGGGGGCGTTATGATGTGACGGTCAATCCCACTATTCATTGGTAAAAGAGTAGCCCAAGAGTTGGCGGTGGGTGGTGATGACTAGCTGCCTTCCCTCTAATCTTACACTGCTAAATTAGGGACGGCTAGCTTTGATAGCCCTCGTATAGCTTTGCACGAAATTCAAAAAACAAACAAACAAACAAACCAGTTGAAAATGGACACTTAAGAAGCCTCGCCCATAGGCACGGGAATTTTCAGCATCACAGTATGATATCTGATTTTTCCATACACCAACTGGATATTTGGAGCACT